GCTAAGCGACAGGTATAGACATTTTTCAAGGTGAGACTTTAAATAAGTAATTCATTTATTCACATGAAACTCCTCTGGACCCTGTGTCGATATGTGTGAACGAAAGAGCTATACGGTACAGTGTAGACGTACACTTGGGGGAATAAAGGCAGTGGTATAACTAACAATTAGCACCACTGAAAACTGGGCATCCCATAATACTCCTTAAATCGAATTAATTCAATATGGCTGCCGTATCGGTAAAAAGGTCTATTGAGGAGAATGTGTGCTCTAACGGTTACAAGGGCCTATAACTAGCGTACGTTATCGGGACAACATACTATTCCGCATAGGCGTAGGGAGGAGAAAAGAAGGAAAGAAGGGAATAATTTAATCGTAGTAGATAAAGAGGGGACAGAAGAAAGTTTAAAAAAAATACAAATAAAATGTGTTGTGTTAAGTACATAAAAAAGCAAGATTTCCATCACCCACATCACTATACACCATGCGCGTACTAAAAGTCTGTAAACCGAACTAACTGCGTGTTCTCCAAGACGACATAATACACACAAAAGACGGCCTATGTATAAGAACACTCTTAATTAAAGTAGGGATGCGCTAAATATAACCGCTGACCTGATGCTACATTCCCCTTTTTAAAGAAAAAAACAGAAATTACTGAATTTAACAAACTGTAACAATAAAAAACTCGAGATAACGCTGCAACAAGAGCAATGTGTCCTTTTCTGCAAACTGAAAACATTATGCTTTAGTAAAAAGCTAGAAAAAGTCTGCTTTGTATCCAATACTTAACATAGTCCTTTAATCTCTGCGGTTCTCTAACTGTCCGACCAGACCGCGTGGTAGTAGCCATAGACATTCCAGCTGGCGGTGTTCCAGGATTCTCGTGGGCCACTGTAACAGAGGACGGCTCAACTTTGGTGTCTGTCAGATCCTCATGATTCGAGACGTCCGGTGTAGGGGTGATTTCCGGGATCTGAGACTCTTTACTTCTCAATAAATGTCGACGGTTTCTTCGGTACCCTCCGGGACGCGCTGTTTCAACCTTGTGAGGTCTGGATGAGGGAAGAACCTGTGAAAATCTAGCACATCTAGCATATTTCCACTTGTTGCCTTCTCTAACACTTACAATCTCACCATCCCTCAATGGTGACAGTCCCCCCGCTGTTTTGTCATGCTGTAGCTTTTGCTTTCTTTGTCTTTCTTTTAGCTTAGGGAGGACCTCTTTAGGGTCATTGTATTGAGGTTTCAACATATCTTCAGTCACTGCAATTGAGGTTCTCAAACGTCTGGCCTTTAGCATTTTGCGAGTGACAGGCCAGTGACAGGTTAACTTCCTCCCCCCGCCCAGTACCTCCCCCCCCCCCACCAAAACACACATACGCACACCCTAATGTAGCACCAAAGTTTCTACTGAAAATTAACCTTAAGTTTTCAAAATAAGATGGATCTTACCCACAAGACAGCTTCAGTAGTAGTTGGTCAGCAGTACTCAGGGCCAGGACACTCAGACATATATCATGGCTGAAAGAGACAAGGGGGGGGGGGGGGGGGGGTTTTTTCGAGAGGAGTTTTTGCAAAAACACAGAACAAATAAGAGTAAACGGTAAACAAAAAAAAAAAATATATTCTAAAAGAGGGGAAACAACAGGAGTGGTCGTCCGGCATCAAGAGTACGCGGCTCCCGTATAACAAAACAATTAAAGTTTCACATAAAAATAAACATAGATTTTTAAAAAAAAAGGGATTCTACCCCCAAGAGCGGTTTAGTAATGGTTGGGAAGCAGGAACCAGGGGCGGGGGCCCCAGGAAAATATAAGGGGGGAAAAGGAAAAGGGGGGGGGGGGGGGGGGGGGGGGTGTTTTCCGAGGAAGTTGTCTCAAAAACCATCAGAACAGTCGCATAGACTGTTAAGCTAAAACAAAAGTATTAATTCCAACGGAGGAACTACAGGGCATTGCGCTCCAGTCCTAAGACTCAGGGACTCACTAATCTCAAAAAAATTATAACGGACAGTACCCGAGGGGTGCACTCAAGGAAAGGTTGAGGCACAGTTTGCCGCCGAGGCCTTCAAACCAAGACCCTGCTTAGGGGCTGTTTACTTAGAGGCAGGACGATCCTAGCCGTGAGGCGAAACAACTTTTCGTTAGGTTCAAAAGATAGCCTGTGTACAGCCGCCCCTTACCTCAAAAAAATCGGAAAGGAGCTCCTTTCCGATTTTTTTGAGGTAAGGGGCGGCTGTACACAGGCTAAGCAAAGATAACCCGTTGAACTTCACGAGGTTAGATTGTTGGAACAGAAGTAAAACAGCTTTATGGACCAAACAGCCTGGCCATTTTCAAAAACACTATAACGCTGAAAACAAAACAAAAAAGGCTTAATTAAGCCATAAATCATTTTTTAGTTCTTAAGGATGAGGTCGCCTTTGATGTCGGGTGGCTCACTGCTATTATAATCCACTGATTAATTTTGGCGCGATTTTATGGGCTATTTTTGGTCACGTGGTACCAAATCGGCCTCATGGGTTATTGACTCAGAGCCCATTCGGTCTCGAGGAATAACAGATAAATACGCCCCGTCCGTGTCGGCCGTATGTTTTTTCAGTGGCAAGAAAGCATCACAGAGTCAACAAAGTGAGTCTCTTTTCAGTGCTTATCTTCCTTAATAATTTAAAATGAAAGCAGTAAAAACAAACTTGTTTTGCATAATCCAGTTAAAGGACCCTTTTGAGCTGTTCGCAAATGACAGTTCCGGAAAATACAAAGAAATCAATAAAATAAGCTTAAGCTATGAAACGAAGCTGAGAAAAGTAACTTGATTACAGTTCTTTATGCAGTCATAGCTGTCAGATATGGAAAAGAAAACTTCAAAGTGTCTTCGAAAATATGTCTTTTTTGTTACTTTCATCATGGAGAAAAGAGAGAAAGAAGCGTAGCGGGCCATGAAAGCGATGAACTGATCGAATCGTACAGTGCGCAACCAACTACAGAGCAACAGTTCGAGTCATATTCGACTATCGGGCCATTTAAAAGCTTTACTCAAGTAAATCCGGTCAGTCAACCTGCTCTTACAGATGGGCCTTACTATTTCTTCTACCTTTCCTTTCTGTGACTTCACTATTTTCGTACTTGTTTTGCCATCTTTTGACTCGAATATTTGATTTGCGTACTTCCGCGCCAAAGGTGCGCGTGCGAGAGTATATTTTCCAGCCTTTGTTTTTTGTATTTTATAGCCCGGATTGCTCGAATTCCTTCCTTGTTTTTTGTGAATATCAAGAAAGATAAACCCCCTTAACGCAAAAACGTTCAGCTACTTGAGTGCATAAGCATGTATGCTTCGATTTACTGGCTATCGGCTTATATAGAAACTGCTAAAAACCTGGAATTGGGTGGTAAAATGGTCATAGAGGCATGAAGGTTTTAGAGGCAAAAAACGAGGGGGAAGACCAAAGGTCCTGAATAAAGCAGGTAAAATAGTTTTAAAGAAGGGTAGATACAAAATAGGAGACTCCACGAGGAAGCTCTCACATAGTTAGCAAGCCAAGTCCAGAAAAGGTCATGAAAAGCTGTTTAAAATGTTTAAAATTAGAGGCCCCTGAGATAGCCAAGAAAAACGCTCTGCTTAGTCTGCCAAGTAACGCCCAGCTCGTCTCAAATTTCTCAAGAAGTACAAAAGCCTTTGCCGTGGGAGGGGGCCGGGATGATTATCTTTTCTCGATGAATGCCCAAAATATATTCTTTTCAGCTGCCTGGGCTCCTGCGCACCAGGTGATAAGAGAGCTCAAAGTGGATCATCTGTGGGTCTACACGCTGTATCCCAATTCATACAGCAACGGCTACAAAATGTGATTAAAAAAAACAAAAAGGGTATACCAGTTACTGAAATTCGGAGTACATGTTTTCGATAGAGAAATATACATCTTCTGGAAATTTCATGTAAAAATAAAGGTTGGATCAAAAGTTATAGAGCATGAAATTAGAGGAACGAAATTTTGGGACACCCTGTACTTTCCTAACTCTTGCAGCGGCAGTTGGTGATATCGTTGGATTCTCGTTACTTATCCATTAGAAACGGTTTTTTTGAGTAGTTTTCAACCAATGCTGCGGTAAAACATTAACTAAAAGCGCTGCTTTTCCCAGTTTTGATCTATGGGGCGTTGCAAGGGCTCATTTGACATGAGAGCCTGTCAAGCCCTGGTCCAATCACAGTTTCACAAAAAAAATCACCCAACAATGTGCTTGTTTGCGTCATTCGCACGCACGCTCACCTCTTGTTTTATAGACATAAAAAAATTAACCAGAGGATTATAAAATAAATAAACCCCTTTCTGGCTTATTAGTATATCGGTGGATAATGCCCTTCGCTGCGAGATTGTCTTCAAAATTTCACATTTCCCCTCGAAGCTTCGCTTCTAAGGTAAACGTTTATGTTTTGGAAAATCTCTCAGTCGCGGGCATTATCCTCCGATATATACAGCTGCCGGAAGGGGTTTATTTACTGAGTGTCTTCACTTATTCAGCTTCCGCTTAGTGCTTTATTTCCTTTGTTGTATACGAAGAGGTTTTCCTCAGTATTTTCTTTGATTTGAGATGTTCTGCAAAGGCTTTTGCGCAGTGCCCTTTTTAAAGTTCAGATATTCCGCCATCCTCTCCGGTTCATTTTTTAAACTTCCCAGTCTGATAGCATCTTATTTAACGGCTTTTACCACACTAACATCAGCTTCTGGAAAAACAAGCTCAATATATTCCTCCATCCTCTCCGGTTCATTTTTTTAACGTTCCAGTCTAGCGGCATCGTTTTTATCTGCTTTTACCACACGAACATCAGTTCCTAGATAAAAAAGCTTTTTCAAGCTGGTGCATTACCACATCTAACTGCCAGGTGAAGAGGAGGCGTGCGTTGTGCATCGCAGACGTTGATATTTTGCACCCCATACCTTCAACAGGAGATCGATTATTTTACTGCAATTGCTGTTCAAAGCTGAAAGGTGTACATTCACCTTAAATATTTACATCCGCGTTGTGTTTAAGTAACAATCTATAGAGGTTCTCGTTCCCCATTGAGGCACACAAGTCCAAGGGTGTATATCCATCATAATCATGAATATTTAAATCCGAATGGTGTTCAAGTAACAATCTACAGAGGTTTTCGCTACCATTTCTAGTACTCCAGTGCAAGGGTGTATATCCATCTTCATCTTGAGTATTTACATCCGCTTTGTATTCAAGCAACAATCTACAGAGGGTTTCATTTTCCGTTAAAGCGCACCAGTGTAAAGGTGTATATCCATCTTCATCTTGAGTATTTACATTCGCTTTGTGTTCAAGTAACAATCCATAAAGGTTTTCGTTGCCCTCTCTAGCACACCAGTGCAAGGCTGTACATCCATCTTCATCTTGAGTATTTACATCCGCTTTATGTTCCAGTAACAATCTACAGAGGTTTTCGTTACCCTTTCTAGTACTCCAGTGCAAGGGTGTATATCCATGAATATCTTGAATATTTACATCCGCGTCATGTTCAAGTAACAATCTGCAGAGGTTTCCGTTCTTCGTTAAGGCACACCAATTCAAGGGTGTACATCCAGCTTCATCTTGAGTATTTACATCCGCGTTGTGTTTAAGTAACAATCTACAGAGGTTTTCGTTATCCCTTCTAGTACTCCAGTGCAAGGGTGTATATCCATCTTTATCTTGAATATTTACATCCGCTTGGTGTTCAAGTAACAATCTACAGAGGTTTTCGTTGCCCTTTAAGGCACACAAGTGCAAGGGTGTATATCCATCTTCGTCTTGAGTATTTACATCCGCGTTATGTTCAAGTAACAATCTACCGAGGTCTTCGTTACCCTTTAAGGCACACAAGTGCAAGGGTGTATATCCATCTTCATCTTGAATATTTACATCCGCGTTATGTTCAAGTATCAATCTACAGAGGTTTTCGTTACCCTTCCTAGTACTCCAGTGCAAGGCTGTATATCCTTGATTATCTTGAATATTTACATCCGCTTTGTATTCTAGTAACAATCTATAGAGATTTTCGTTGCCCTCTATGGCACACCAATGCAAGGGTGTATATCCATCTTTATCTTGAATATTTGCATTTGCTTTGTGTTCAAGTAACAATCTACAGAAGTTTTCGTTGCCCTCTCTGGCACACCAGTGCAAGGGTGTATATCCACCTTCATCTTGAGTATTTACATCCGCGTTATGTTCTAGTATCAATCTACAGAGGTTTTCGTTACCACAGTCAGTACACCAGTGCAAGGGCGTATATCCATGATTATCTTGAATATTTACATCCGCTTCGTGTTCAAGTAACAATCTACAGAGCGTTTCGTCACCTTTTAAGAATGATTGGTGAAGGGGTGTTTTTCCATAGGTATTTTGAATATTAACCTTTGCGTTGTGTTTAAGTAACAATCTGACAAGGTTTTCGTGACCGTTATTGACTGAAACGTGCAGTGGCGTGCACCCAGTACTAATATGGACATTTACATCAGCTCCATGCCTTACAATTAAGCTTGCTGCCATGTAGTTGTTCCAGTCAGCTGCTAACATTAGTGGCGTTTCTTTGCCTTCTCTCCTTTGGGCATTAACGTCGGCCCCAAGATCAATGAGGGTCTCAATAAACTGACTTGAGGACGAACGACTCGCCTGCAGCAAAGCTGTGCAATCATCGTCTGATCCTGGGGCACTGATATCTACACCGTCATTTAATACAAGTTCAACTGCCTGTTCGACATCATCATCGCCCCACTGCAGCTCAGTCAGTCTGCTCTTGTCCTCAGCTAACTTTTCAAAAATCCTTTTGATATCAACATGAAATGGGTTTTTTCTCTTTCTAAGAGACAAGAAGTCAACTGCCGATTTTCCTATAAATTCTTTAGCGTTTTTTCCCGTTTTTGTAAGTTCCATCTCTTCTACAAAGTTGTCAAAAAGGCCACTTGCTTGTAAGACAATGTTGTATTTTCCTTCAAAGACAGCCGCCTGGAGCAGATTAAATCCATATTGTTCATCCACTTGCAAGAAAGCTTTTCTTGAGAGTTTCTTTAGACAGACCTATGATAAAAATGACCATGGTTTGAGCAAAAATAATAAAAAGGAAATTCATTTGGCACTAATTTTTAACTGTCCTTATTGCAGATAAGAGATTAATAGGACTTCACTGCATTCATATTGCAAATGGACACATTTTACACAACATGTTATGGTGGTTGGTTGCTATGGTTAAAATATATGGCGTCATTGGTAACATAAGGGCAGGCTACTTAAAAACAGAAATGTGAATTTTGTTAATAATTCTTACTGTGATCAAATTCACAAATCGCAACTGTGATAATATATGTGAAGAAACGTGCGCGTTACACAAATTTTAATATCCTATTATTCTTATTAGAAAACTATCAACGACAAAAAGATCTGTGGAATGTTATTTGTCGAGGGAAGAACTGAGCCAAAGAAGTGTGGGAAAAGCAAGCTGCAAGCAGACAGCAACGGTATTTACCGTAAACTTCCGAAAATAAGCCTAGAATTCCAATGTAGGCTTAGATACAAGCTCATACGACAATGTAAAGGTCGCACTGTAATGTTCAACATTATCGGTATAGAATACAACAAAAGTAAGGGAATGTCATCTGAAAAAAAAACGCTTGGCAAGAAGCACATGCAATCTAATATCTTACTGGTTGATGAAGACTTGGCCTCGCACCATTCTTCAGCAACAACTGCGCTATGGAGTGGTGGTTTTGACGTTCAGCTTTTTGCAGAGGTGTGCGTTGAAACTAAAAACGTCACAAGCAGAGTTAATCGTGTTACATGCCACGTGCTATTTGCCAACAAGACTGAAAGAATATTCTTACCACCGGTATGTATACATAAGGTAGTAGATGTACAACATATAGTAGTTTATGCTCACTACATACCCATTACCACATCGCGATAAACTAAGTTATGGCAGGAGACCTCGACAACTCTGGCATTAAGGTAAGCAGCAGGTGACAAAGTTGGCCCCGTCAACCGGCACCAGGGGAGGAAGGTGCGGCGACAAAAGCTTCCTTGACCGGAACGTTGGCCAAATGATCCCCGATAGATGCAAAACACTGGAATTTAAGCAGAAGGACCGCAAAGTATCATGGCCGCCCCGGAGACATGAAAGCACGGCAGAATCTAAAGGTTTAGAGTCCCATTTCGTGCTGCGCTAGTTATGTATGCAGTGAGAATAGCCAAGTCAATTTAATTGGCCAACTTAGAGGGAATCATGTGTGAATAATAAAAAAAGAAACCAAGAACTTCCCTTGCCCCACCATTTATTACTCACCCTGTCTTTATTGTTGACGTTCGCTCCGTATTTCAAAAACAGTTTGACCGCAGATTGGTGTCCATACCAAGAGGCAAGATGAAGAGGAGTCAAAGAAAACTATGGAAAACAGGAAGAAATGACGCGGTTAAAAAAGCCATACTAATAATGGCCTTTTATGAAATAAGCTTAGAGTCTGCTATTGGATTAATTTTTAGAGGCCTAGTTTAGACCAAAGCCATAGCATCTCTACTTTATCTTCTTCAGTTTACAAGGAGCAGTCAAAGAATAAAACTAAACTTTAGTCCAAATGCCACGTCGCAGGCCACTTTCCAGTAGTATAGGGCGCATCACCGAATTATCCTTTTTTTCGATGGAATCTTATTAACATGCAGTGGAAATCATTACCGCCGATGACGTCATAGCCATTTGTCTTTATCTCATGAATAAAATGCAGTGGGTTCTCATTATCGCACCTTTTGTATATTTGTAAGGTCCAGTTTGAACATCGAACTTTTCATGTACCGAACCTTCTCCCTTCAATTAAGTACACGAGGAGATCGATGTTTGAATGAACAAGTCCGATGTAGACCATTGAACATAGGCTCACAAATCCTTCACCGGTTTAACCTGTTTGTCATCTTCTAGTTTTATTTTTCCAGTTTGACAGATTTTCCAGTAATTTTTAGGTAGATGAATCTCTTGTTTTGATTGGTCGACTTACAACTAAAAAAGTATTCATACGCCACTTCCACATTTCCCTTTTTATGCAAAATTTTGGGGGGCGCTAAGGTGCATTATGGGAAATGTGGAAATGGCTTATTGGTTGAAACATATTGTCGAAGGAATAAGCGCTAACTCGTCTGTGACCTAAAATCACTGAGCCCTAACGTTAATTGATTATGCACGTTTATTTCCTGCCGCTGTCATTGTCCATTGCAGACAACGCATTTTCCTGGTTCTGGTTCACTGATTCTTGGCACAAAAATTGTGCATAGTGATGAGTATGGAAGCAAACTAGCTCTTTCTACAACCAAAAAAAATTTCATTTTCCCTCATCACTTTTTAATTTCTCTATATTTCTATTGTTTCTCGTCTTCCAGCACCACCAGCACATTTCTGTCGTCCCTCCACGACCACCACCACCACAACAACAGAATTTTTTTCAGGCTTCTCTACGCAAATGCATAAATTGTGTTCACTGCGACGATCATTTCTTCATTTTCAACAACTTTATTCTTTGTACAAAAATACACAGGTTGGATAGTTTGCCCCGCAAATAGCTGGACAGCTAGTCTTGGCGGGGCAAGACAAGTACATGAAAACACAATTATCTAATAAAAACAAAAACCTTTAACTATTAGAAAGCGTTGCAGATTGCAGCAGAAATAAATAAAACTTTTTGTAGTTTGTTCTTTAATTCTTCAATTTCATTACGCAAAGCTTGATTTTCCTTTCGTAGCTTGTCTTTACCAGTCATACTGAATGGTTTTCAGAATACGTAGGTTTAGGATAAAAGAAGAATTCGTGAATTAAGATCGGAGCACACAGAACACGTCTGCACAGCTCAGTGCACACGCGTGATTATCCACCACCACCACGACCACCACAATTCGATTGTTTTCCGCCCTCATCCACCACCAGCCTATTGTTTCTACTGTATTAGAAAAGCACAAAAAGAGAAGATAATGACAATCCACCTCTTTTTTTTCATGAGATAAAGACAAAAGGCTATGACGTCGCGACGTTAACGTACTCCATTGCACGTTGATGAGATTGCACCGCAAAAAAAGGATAATTCAGGCCCCATACGACTCTTTCCATTACAACTCGGTAAAACAAAGTTATATGTTTTCATTCTAAACACTAATTCTTCATTACGAAAATGCAGATAACACTGAACATTTTTCAGGCTCCTGAGGTAAACACAAACAAACAAACACAAAACAGACAAATAAAATAACTAAAGTCATTTTCAGTTTCTGGTTCGCCTCAGCCTATTAAAATTTCAAGGCGGAAATTCCTTCCAAGTTCAAAATAAATTAGGTCTCCATAACTTTTCAAAACGACAAAGTTGTATATTTAAGAAGTTTGATTGTGATCCTCCGGATGAGTACAGTACTGAACTGAATAGTAAGGTTTTTGACCACCAATGCATAAGTGATCATCAGAGTCACCTTCCTGTGCGAGAGTCATCATCAGAGTTTTTCTTGACCCTGCAGACGTCCTTTGGGGTTCGTTCGTCTGGAATCCCAAAGGACGTCTGCGGGAGGCTAACAGAAACCTTGCTTTGTTACATCTTCGCGTTTTGTTATTACCATTTATTGTTTTGTTGCAAAATAAACATACTACACTTGCTGAAAATGATGGAAAATTTAATAAGCGCCCAGCCTCGAATAAGCGCCCACCTCGAATAACCGCCCACTCTCAAGGTCCAAATATTTAATAAGCGCCCAGGACGGTTAATATAATCGAATAAATACGGAATCCGGTAAAGTGTGAACATAGCTTAGGCATTCTACAGAAGAAAAGTTATGACTTAGAGATATTTTCAGCAACAACAATATGCTATCTGTCAATCACGCTTGTCACTACCGGCCGATTAGAATGGTGTGTTGGTTCATGAACGCAAGGCTTCTGCTCATAATCTACTAAAACAAGAAAAGAATGTAAGAATCCGTAAGCATTAGATTTACATAGACTGGGGAAGACTTAAACCTGATCTCTTTGGTCCACATCTTCACCACTTTCAAGAAGCATTTTAACCATCTCGTATTGTCCCCTGGCAGCAGCCTTGTGTAGAGGGCCTCTTGAAACCTGTTTCAAAAAATTAATATCCTTTTATCAGAGAGAAAAAAAATCAATTAATACTCCCACCAAATGATGCTTTTCACATTTGCACATATTTTGCTTTGTTTAAGTACACAAAGCGTGCACACCCAGTATTCTTTTTATCGCAGTGAACTTACTTTCGCTTTCCCAGCTCTCTCCATATGGGTCAGGACCTGCGTCTTGTCCTAGGATGATTAAAAAAGGAAAAATATACATTTAAAACCCGATCTACAATGAAGTTCTACGAAATCACTTCTAATCTGAAATTACAAGGCAAACGACACACTCTTGACTGCCCATAACATTGTTTCTTAGTGTATTCAAAACCCTTGGTCTAAGAAACATCAATTAGCTAATGTTGGAAATTTCTACGAAGATGCAACAAAAAATTACCGACCACTTTCCTTTAAAACATAGGCACGTTTAACGTGCATGAGCTATTTTGATTGCTTCAGTCTAACCGTATCAACAATCTACTGTTTTAGTCCTACATTAAGACTATTTTTTGCGCGAAATTGGGTATTGCTGTTCATTAATGAAAACGCGAACCGCTGCGCACAGCTGAGTCGCTCCTAATACTATAGATTCAGTTTTTTTGTCTTTCTTTCAGACATCTGTTGCAAAGTAAATAAATTGTTCCAGCACTTTGAATATCAACTCACCAAACGTTGCTTCAGTTAGAGGGAAGACTCGAAGGTTTCAAGATTTCTTCAAGGTTTCTTAAGATAATGAAGCTCATCGAATATCGAATAGCTAAGAAATGTCACGATTTTCATCATTGTTGTAGATGGTTGTATCATCATTATTCACAAGGTTGTCACGTGCGAATCTACTTAATGAAACAGTCTTTCACTCTGACGACTTGATTCTAAAAGTGTTATAAGTTATTGCTTCTTAAGAAAACAGCCTTTACTTAAGGTACTAGTTATAAAACTAAAGAGGTTTTCAAATATTCAAGTTACTATTATTATCGTGAAAAGACATTCTGCATGAGATATACAGTCAGACAGTTTGCACGTAAAAGTGTTGGACTGTGCCCATTTCGTAGTTCGTACTTAAGAGAATTCGATCACACAGTGATCCAGTAAGCAGGATTATAAAAATAACTCATGAACACAGTTTGCAAGTGAAGACGTTGGACTTTGCCTCTTTTACAATTCGTAAATAAAAGAACGTAAATTGTTTACTAGGAAGTTTGCTCAAACGGTTTTAAGAAATCACCTCGGCTTTACAACATGTGCAATTAACTTATGCTTCATGCAACCAAGATGGCGGTCTCAAAGTGCCCTTGATGGACCTTAAGCAACGTCATGTTTAGACGCCAAAATCTACGCGTTATTGGTTCCTATAAGCATCAACTCATAGTACCTTCAACCTTATTGGCCCCTGCAACAGACGTCCGAGCACACAAAGACACAAAGCCACAAAGATACATACGCTTAAACCACTGCCATGTGAGGTATTTTTTCAAAATAGCTCAATCATTCCATTATAATATTTTCATACAATTCCAATTTACAAGGCTGTGCTCTAAGAAAAATTGAAGAGAGCCCAGTGCTCTGAATCTATAAAATCTAGGGTGCCCAGCATATGATTTGTATGAAAATACTAAGATTTTCTACTCGCCCAAGAGCAGAAGTTGGGTGCCATGGACCACCGGGCTCTGCTAGAGTACAGCCCTGAATTTATATTAAATGAAACCCAACCAGTCTTTCTCTTCGATGTTGTGTAAAAGAACTGGGTTTGAAAACTGTCATACTTTTTTCCGAGCTATTATTTCTGCAGATTGTACCCCATGAAACAGCTCGATTTCTTTTCCTTTTTAGCCTTTACTTGTTTTAATTTTTAGTCCCAAGCACACAGCACCTACCTCAGAATCATCTGGGCTTGTGTCAGTTAGAAGTGAAGCTGCTTCTTTATCTGATTCAGTTGAAGGTGACACGCTACGGCTGATTGCTAACACAGAATAAAATAACAAAAACACGTATTGAATTCATCTTTTGTGAATGCACTGTTACAGAAAATACCCTCAGCCAGGTACAATTACTGCATTACTGCACATGAACGTGAACGTCAACTAACAGCCACCTCTCTTGAACTAAACGTTACAACATCTTTTTTTATAACATGCTAAATGTTATTTCGATTAAAATATTATATGCATTATCATTAATTTGTCTCTTTGTGCAAACTGTTTCAGGGAAGTAATTTGAAGCTCAGAAGGTTCTCTATTGCTCTCATGTTAAAGATTCCCCCCGCAGTGAAACACCTTACGACGATGATCATTCTAGCTGTCAAGTACCACTGCCATAAGCAACCAACCTTTACACAAAATGTCATTGGCCGGGCAGTTTCTTAAAATGTATAATCTAGTTTACAATGTTGTTATACAAATTTACCATTGTATTAAGTACTTGTTTGGATATTGCAACAAACCATAACACAAAACGTCACAAGAATTATTGGCAACGGTTCCATACGTTGAATTGTTCATTATCTCGACTGAAGTCTCTAAGATGACCGCTTTATTAATACGATGTATATAAGTACTTATGAGTACACTGCTACAAAGCACTAGCAGAGAATTATCTCAATTTTTTGTCCAAAGATAATTGCCCAAGAAATTGTGCTGAACCAACTCACCTGACTTTTCCATAAGAGATTTCTTGCAAGTAAAATAGTTTTCTTCCTCAATAATAGTCTTTAATCTGAGTGTCACCAAGTTGATTTCTTTCTTCATATCATCAGTTACCAAAAACCTCTCTGCAGCTTCATTCAGGACACCAGAACAATAATCATTCCACAGACTTTCCAGACTTTGCAGGTCAGGACACTGACCTTTTATTACCAAAGATCCCATACCCACAGATGTTAAAGTAAAGTTGTAAGTATCTTCTACATGCTTAATGAAGTCACTCAATCCGCTGGCTGTAGAAAGCTTGTTTCTTTTATTGTACTTCAAGTACACTTCAAGTTGTTGTCTTAACATTCTATCCACGACATCCTCCAGTTCACTACTTAAATCACGTGGGGTGATCGACATCTTAATAGTGTTCGCTGCTTCTGAAAATTATTGATTAAAAGCATATTACAGGGGCACCCAACGACTGTTTTCTGTAAAATATCTGTTCGGAGAAGCAAACATTACCTAGAATTTTCTACTACTTAAGGACGGCTAAAAATTTCTAGACAAGCGCTCCATTCATGTACAATTTTCTAAGCTCAACTAATAAATTCCTTACGACTTTCTGAAGTTTAACTTTTCACATTTCACTCTCAAGGTTAGGCTATTTTCCATAGAAAAAAGGAAGCCTAAAATTTTCGGATTCAAAAATGTGATGGAAAGAGGAATCAGAAAAGTTTTCTCCTTCGTAATACGTTAATTATTGCATCTAATATTTTCGAGAAAATAATACTGAATCCCTCGTAATTTCAAGTTCCCCCAGGATGACCGAACAGATACAAAGTTTATAGCGCCGCTTAGAATGCGTTTCTAGATATCTGAAAGTACTCTGGATAGCCCAAAAAGAGTTTTCAGTGTATTTAGGAGGACACCGTCGTTGGATGCCCCTGATATTAACTACAAGTCAATTACTGCTTCTTATTACTATTCAACAAAAAAAAATAAACTATTTACTAATGTATAAGGAAACTCAGTGAGGCTCCTCAGCTCTTTGTTTGAAAAAGCTTTTACAAAAACAGAGCATTCTTATATAGCTATTCACCATTTTCACATACATCTTGTACGCATCTTGTTTACCCCCCAATTTCTCCTGGGTTTTACACTCGTCCCAAGAGAAATTGAAGACAATGGTTATGCAAAATTTTGGGAAGTAACCAAGGTGTGTGGTCTATCTGAAAATAGTGAATAGCAGAGAGACAAAAATAAAAACATTTACTTTTTAAATGGGCCAAAAAATTCTCAAGAGTTTATTAAAACAAGACACTAAAACACCTAAAGCACCTTGTCAATGTAATTCAATTCCATACCTTGGTCAGAAGTATGCCCAGAAATGCTAGGAGTATGGCAAATTAAGGGAGATTCTTCACTTAATCTGGCTGCATCATCCTCAGTTTTAGGCTGTTCATCAACTGGACATTGCTCTCCTGGGAATCCAGAAGCTGAAGCATGAGCTTTTGCAATGGGCTGCTTTTCATTGACAGAAACATCCTTTGGTATATCAGAAGCATCTGGTGTGAGAACAAGCCTTTATTATAAGCTTCTTCCAAAATATATTTATATACAACTGTATGTTTTGTAACCCATTCACATCTCCACCACTGATAACTACTCATGTGGAACCACCTCCTATGTAACACTAAAAAAAAAATTTAATGGTCACAGACAACTGTGACCCTTAAAGTGGTGGAGACCCTTATTCTACACATCACAGACCTTTTTATGCATTTACAACTTTCAATACAACTTTAAAAGGTGTGCACAAAACATTTAAGCTCAAGAAGCAATAGGAATTCAGAATAAATTTGATGGTAAAAACATCATACCTTTTTAAAGTACTATAGATCCATTTTAAGATTGCATTTCAAAATGGTAATCCTACACGTTTATACAGTCAGCTTTATCAAGCTTTGAGCTACATTATTAATAAGGAAAGTAGGCATCTCAAAATTTCAAGACGCCAATTTAATTTGCAGGTTTGTCACCTCCCAACACAAAACTGACTGTTTTTGTAATTGTTTTCCTTCAGTGGAAGTTTAAAAATAACAACACTGACGTTCAAGTATGGCTACATGCCCCCCCTCCCTCCCTCACCATAAACGAATTGAAGGTACATGATTTCTTAGGAAAATAACTGAATCTACTGGGTAAGGATTGCAAAGAGGTACATTATTTTATACAGAGTGTATGTCTTGGCCATATTTATCTAGCTTTCAATAAAACGGTAAAATATTCTGGGACAGTATGTACATGTACATATGTACTAAATTTGCAAAGAAAACTGATAGAACCTGTGTGTACACTCGACAATTTGGTCAAAGAACAAAATGCATTCAGTGCTTGTGAGTGCACTGCACAGCTCTTACATTTTGCATATATTGTGCCAAAAAAACTATATTAGTGTATTATGTCTGGTACAACATGAATACAGTGTAATTAAGTACATCAGCACTCAACAAAAATAACTCTTACCATAACCCATTCTCTGCATTCTGTTCACAAGGGCATCACATTGCTCCTTCCAGCTGTACTTCTCCCCATAAGATACTCTCAGTAATTTTATCTCTTGAAGCCTCATTCCATGCCTGATACGAATAGCTTCTATTGCTTTTGCCCATTCTGCAGGATCATCGGAATTCATTATGCATGTATGACCATGAGGAACATTCTCTAATGCTTTGGCAAATCCTGACCTACTGCCTACAAGAATGGGTAGTCCTGCAGACAAGGCCTCAAGTGCAACAAGACCAAATCCCTCTGATTTTGATGGCATTATGGCAAGGTCAGCTTCGCACAGCAAATCTTTCAGTGTCTCTCTACTTTGTATAAATTTTCTAACAGTCAACTGCGCTACCACAATACCACTCTGAAGAAGTTTTTCTCTAACTTCTTCTTGCTTTCCTTCAGGCGCTCCAACAAAGATTAGACGATATGGTTTGTTTTTCAACCGTTGATCACTAAATGCTTGAGCAGCAATGTTGTATCCTTTGAGTTCAAAGTCCTCATCATCCCCACGACCAAATAACAACACTTTAAATTCACCATCTTCATTAGGATAATGTTTTGCCACTAAATCCCCAAACTCCCTTTCAAAAAGGCCTGGAGTAATGGACAAAACATCTTGACCTGTCTTAGATCGCTGTAAATATGAAGAGTATGCTTCTTTTAGTCTGGGTCCCACAGGCACAATAAGATCAGCAAGTTTGCAAAGTTCAACTTCTGATTTGTGTTTTGTTTCACCTTTTGAAATGGGGTTACTGTAGGATTTGAAACTGCTCAGGTCCTCTGGAGCAGTGTGAACCACTTGTACCCACTTACAATTTGGAAATTGAGCAGAGTCTCTAATGAATTGCACTTGCCGACCAAGTTTAACACCATGGCCAACAACAATGTCCATGACATGGTCCTGGGGTGGGATGCTCAACCAATCAAGACGATCATATGCTGCACGTTTTTTTGCCTCAACAATAGTGATTCCATAGCCATCTGCTTCTCTTATTTCTTCAGTGTTGCAAGCTCCCTCCGGGACTAGTAAAGAAATCTTCACCGCTAAATGATTTGAAAGGTGAATAGCAAGCTCTCTGTTTATGGTTGACAACCCACCAGCAGATGAACCCCACTCACCACCAAGAAGAGTAACATGTAGCACTGGAACACTGGAGTCACCATAGCAAGCCTACAAAGAACAAA